GAGGGGATGCTGACAATATGTAGTAGCCAGAAGAATCTGTGGGATTCGTTTCTATATTCAAAAAAGCTCATGTTATCTTCCACCATGGATAAAGATGCTGAATAGCAAGAAGCAAAGAAGTAGCTGCGTCTACTGGGATACTGGGTGGGAAATTGTTTATTTGTGTGTAAACGGCTAGGGCTGGGGATTTGTGATGGCTGAGCTGTTCAGGTAAGACACAGCTTTGGGCCCAAGAGAAAGCTAATGAAAATTAAATTAGACATTCAAGCCAAGTGCTTATCTAGGTCAGTTTAGTTTGCCCAAAGCAACCCAAAATACATTTTATACATAACCAGCCAAGAAAGATTTTGCAGGTGCTTTGTAAGGAGCCCATGGTATTTAAAATATTAAATCATAAAATGCTGGTTTGTTCTATGGCTTTTCTGCAGGATAAAAATAGAAGAGAAATTAAGGCTTTCAGCCTCTTAATCTTTTTTCCCATTTGTGTGTATGCACATGTGTGGCCTGTAAGAATATTCCATTGTGTACAGCCAGCCACAGATCATTTCTACAGCATAATCCAGAGAACTGTTTGCATCTTGAATGTGTGGCTACTTACAGATGCAAGAAATACTAATTAGATCCTGCAATCTCTTGTCCTCATTGGCTACAGAAGACCTTTGGAATTGCCAACAGTTAAGTTTACCAGTTTTTCTGCAAAGCACAAAATACGAAGCCAAAAACCAAGGAAACAAACAAAAGCCCAGTGCATAAATAAACCTTAAAATGTCTAGTGCAATTTATTAATTAAATGCAGTTTTATCTGTGATAATGCCAACATACTACCTAAGTTTTGATGCTCTGCAAAGCTTATGGTAAATCGAAACAAACCATGTAGAGCATTAGTACATTAATTAGAATTAACTGATATTACTGAGATTAATCTTTTGTATCTTTATTTTTATGTGGAAATTGTTCAGTTTGGTTATGTAGTTTTTAATGTGTTTTGTTTATTTTTATGACTACTTTGCTATGTTTGTAATTATGTTAATAATAATAATAATAATAATAATAATAATAATAATTTATTTGTACCCCGCCCATCTGGCTGGGTTTCCCCAGCCACTCTGGGCGGCTTCCGACAAAGATGAAAAATACATTAAAATGTCACACATTTAAAACTTATTTATACAGAGCTGCCTTCAGATGGCTCCTGAATATCATATAGCTGTTTATCTCCTTGACATCTGATGGGAGGGCGTTCCACAGGGTGGGCGCCACTACCAATAAATCTTTTCATATTGTAAGCCGCCTTGAGCATTGTTTTAACTGTGGAAAGGAGGCATACAAATAAAAAATGATGATGACGATGATGATTTGGGGTGCCTTTTCTCCTCCCTAAACCAAAACCTGATGTCAGTAATACACATACACTGAATCAAATTAGGGAACCCACAAAACCCCATGTTCCTCTGTTGTTCTGCCTTTTCTGTATTGTATGCCTTCATAGTCATGTTTCTCTAAGTCCCTCTGCAAGTGAGGCTGTGCAAATTATTGCCTGCAAAACACTGAAGAGATCGGGATTTGCTGACATTGTTAAAGCAGAGCAGCCAATTCTGGTTTTGTTTTTTTCAAAAAACAAGTTGAAAAGCTTGAGGATGTTTCAACCAGGGAAGGCAGGACTCACTCAAGGTTGCTCAGGAACACCTGCCATGCCCATCAACCAGCATTCCAACTCGATGACTGGAGAAGAGCTGCAGAAGGCAAAGCTTGATGTGGACAAACTGGAAAACTGGACAGACACCATCTTTCGGTGAATGGTGGTTCTCAAACAATTTTTAGAACAATGGAGATAATGAGCACTACTCAGGCCAGCCAGACCTTGATGACTCATCTCTAACAGGTGACCATTCTATGAAGACCTCTAGCAAGGAAGGGCCCACCAACTAGATAACCTGGTTCCTTTGTCAAAATCTGTTCTTACTGTTAAGATGCTTTCCCTAATGTTAAGTCAGGATCTGGCTTCTTGCAACTAAAGCCATTAGATTTATTTCTGCCCTCTGGCTGAGCAGGGAACAAGTTTTTCCCTCTTTGATATTTCAAGATATCATGCTCCCACCATTCTTTTCCAGAATAAATATCAAGTTTTCCCTTTCAAGCTATGTGCTTTTTATCACCCTTCCTTACAAATGCTTTAGCATGACACCCTGGAAGTCCAAAATCAAAAGCTTTCCCCCCCAAACAAATAAAAACCCTACCTTTCCCCTCCAATTGCATTTGACCATTCTCAAAAAAGAGGACATATCCAGATGGCAGATGGCTTAATTATGGTTAGATATTTTTTGTCATTATCTGGCCCAGAGCTTTGTTATATCTTAATTAGAGTGTGATTACATCACATTAACAGTTTCCCCACAGTCTTTTCCAGGCTAAATATTCAACTCTTGTGGGATTTGTTTTTGCATACCTGTCCATCTTCATTGCACTCCTCTGAACCCATCCCAATTTGTCTACATCCTTTTTACAATGTGGTGCTCAGAACTGAGTACAGTCTTCCTGGAGACGTTGCCTAATGTAGAATAAAGTGGGATTGTTACTTCTCATACTTGAGGGCAAAAAGATACAAGTAATCCACAATAGGCAGACACCTGAGTTATGTCAATGTGAAACCTTTCACAGTGATACAGAAGCACTTCTATCATGAGTTCCAGCTGCTCAGCCCCACCTTGCCTCACAGAGATCTCCCCAAAGCTTTCTGCCTCGTGGGTGGTGGTCAAAGGAAGGTACCAGGAAAGATCATGACTGAGGGCAGGAAATGCTCACTGACTAATCTGGGCATCAAATAGCCACCATATTATTTCTGTTCCTTGCATGTGATTGTATTGTGCAAATCTCTCCTTGAGAACCTCCCAGAGCTATAATATGGTATGTAAGCATTACCAGTGCCAGATTTATGTATAAGCTAAACAAGCTATAGCTGAGGGCCCCGCCCTCATGGAGCCCCCCCAAAAAATTTAAAGGAAAAAACAAACTGGATGTACATTTCCAAAATATAAGATAAAAAACAAATAAAATAAAACCTACATACACCAACAGTGTTTTGTGTTGTGTTGGCTCCTATGATGTAAGTAATGGGCCCTGCCTGCTAGCCTGCTCCCTAAAATATCACTGGTTTGCTCATTTCTATAGGAACTTTTGTTATTGCCAAATGCCAATGTGTTTGCATTATTAAGTTTGTTATGAATAAAAAATCATTTTAAGTTAGAGCTTAATAATTATTTCACTATTAATATACAGTGGTACCTCGATTTAAGAACAGTCCTGTTTACAAACGATTTGGTTTACGAACTCCACAAAACTGGAAATAGTGTTTCGGTTTGCAAACTTTACCTCAGTCTAAGAATGGAATCCGAATGGTGGAAGGGCACCGACAGGGGGAGGCCTCATTAGGGAAAGTGCACCTTGGTTTAAGAATGGTTTTGGTTTAAGAACAGACTTCCGGAATGGATTAAGTTTGTAAACCAAAGTACCACTGTACTTCTTCTTAATTGTATTTCACTATTAATATACTTCTTCTTAAATGTATTTCAATTCAACAATTACTTTGATAAAATACATATTTTGTTATGTGCAAATGGCTTTAGATACCTATTAGTTCCATATATTACCATATAGCATATATTCAACACAAAAACAGCGGCAATTTGTTGTTGACAAAGGACAGCTGGACATATAAAGGGCCCCATTACCTTCAGTAGCTCAGGGCCTCATCAAACCTATAGCCAGCCCTGAGTATTACAATTCAATAAATGTACCTTAAATGGTGACGGTCTTTCCATGATAATTCCGATGACATATGAATGGCTTTGTGGTGCTGACCATAGGCGCTTTCAAGACAACATTTGGCCACACTTGCCCTGCTATGCTGTTACTAGATAGATTCCTCAGGGAGGAAATGTTCCATTATTCATTCTGAATAAATTGTGGGAAGTGTTATGCAATGCAATCGCCCTCTAACCAAGATATAGCAAAAACCCTGGGCCAGGTAATGATAAGCATTTTCATTCATTCATAGGTCTAGCAGTTGAGAATTGGGGGTAATTTAACCATCTGCCAGCCAAGTGCGTACTCCTTTGGTAATGATCAAATAAGATTGGAAGGAAAGGGTAGCTTTTGTGAAGATTCTTTTTTCCAACAGCACTTGACTTCAGGCTCCCAACATGTCATGCTAAAGCATTTGTAAGGAAAGATGAAAAGGAACACATAACTAGAAAGGGCCAACTATGCTCTTTAAAGACTCAGTTTAGCCTGTTAGCACTTAAATGGTTTTCTCCCAAAGAATCCAAAGCAAGAAGAAAGATGTGTGAGGCAGCCATTAGTGAGAGCCATTAGGAAAGAGCAAGCAGACTTGATAATGATTTCAGGAAAGGATGAACAGAAGCCTTTGCAAGATGTGCATCGTCAGTCAAATAAAGGGTCTAAGACAGTGGGGACGGTGTTTTGAATAGGTCGAGATCCTGTAATTTCACTATATTTCTTTGTCAATATCCATCCCATTTCAGTATCTACACAGCAGGCAGGCAGAAGCCCTGAGGAGCAATTTCTGACATCAAACAGAATAAGACTACTTTTGCCGGCATAAAACAAGGGCAGATGCTGACAGGAACAAGGTAGGCACCCAGTTAAACCCTATCCAAGATGGCTAAAAGTTCACCCAACAACTGCTCATGAAGTTGTAGCAAAGAACTGATCAGGAGAGTTTTAGCATTCTTCAAAGGATTCACATAAAGGGCTCCAGCTGTTAGATCAAGGAAGGGAAAGACATATGCAGGATCTGTTTTGTCCATATAGGGAGCCACACAGAACTTGGTCCCATGCATTTGGCTTCCTAGGAAGATGTGTGGTGGTGCTGGACACCTCGACTCTCTTTTCTCAAGACAAAGACACTTCCTTCAGTTCCTCTCTATTGTACTCCTAACAAACAAACAAAAAAGTGTTTAGCAAACTATATCCCTTAAACCAGTGATGGCCAAACTCGGCCCTCCAGCTGTTTTGGGACTATAATTCCCATCATCCCTGGCCTGTTAGCTAGGGATGATGGGAGTTGTAGTCCCAAAACAGCTGGAGGGCCAAGTTTGGCCATCACTGCCTTAAAGCAAGGGCTGTATTTGTTCAATAATAATCTGTTGTGAGCTGCATGCCAGCCAGTGCTTTTTTTTTTTCCTTTAAAAAAATGTTTAGGGGTACTCTCATTTTGACTCAAGAAAATCACTATTTTATAGTTCAAATCGGGGGAAAGAAATACAGCAAATAGACAAAAGTACAAAAATGTTTAGGGGTATGCATACCCCTGTGTCCCCAGAAAAACCCCACTGATGCCAACAATGGGTGGAGCTAGAGCCAATTTTGGGTGAAGTCAAAGTAGCAAAGGGCTCATCCATACTTCCACTTGTCCTGTGCCTAGAAAGCATGGGCCTGAGCAGTTTTCCACTTGTCCCACACTTTCTAGAATCCTAGAATGTGAAGGGACCCCAAGGGTCATCTAGTCCAACCGCCTGCAATGCGGGGAAACTCAGCTAAAGCATCCATGACAGATGGCCACTGCTTAAAAACCTCTAAGGAAGAAGAGGCCACCACTTCCCAAGAGAGACCACTCCACTGTCAAACAGCTCTTACTGTTGGAAACTTTCCCCTGAAGTTTAGTTGGAATCTCATTTCTTGTAATTTGAAGCCATTGATTCAAGTCCTCCCCTCCAGAGCAGGAGAAAAGAAGCTTGCTCCCTCTTCTGTGAGAAAGAGAGGAAAGGTAACATCTGGATGGCGGGTCATAGTTGAGGAAGCATCATGTTCTACTGACTGTACCTGAATACAACAAGCTGGCACCTTGGTTTATTTGGGTGTCCTTTTCATGAATTCTTCCCTAAAGCTTTTGTGTTAGTTTCATTCAAAAACAAAAGCGTCCAGAGTAATCTCAGCTGAGAATGCTTTGGAGTAGGAGTTCCCAAATTATTTATTTTTTATCTGTTTCCCAATCACCACTGGTCCCCAAGAGCCACAATGTTTTCCTTGAATCTCAGAGGGAAGTCCAACAGATTGACTCAGTGCTGTTGTCTCACCCCACTGGTTGAGCATCGTCATTTTGGAAGATTAAAAGAAATTAGGTCTGGTTTACACACAGTTAAACCACGCTGTGCATAGCTCATTTACCTGTGCTTTTCATTAGCAATATTTTATGACCTATTAACATCTCATTATCTTTATCTGAACTTTAACTCACGTTGACCCTGGCACTAGCAGGTTTAAGATAGCCATTATGTTCCATCCATGATGTTGCAAAAGGAAAGAAGATCCACAATCTCAAAGCAAAGCAGAGACTACAGAAGCTTAAATGGCTTTTTAAAAAGCACACTGTTAGATTTACTATGCTTTACTAATTAACTTAGTATGGAACAGAGGAAAAAATAAGCAGTATTTTTATTTTTAAGATTTGGGTTTATCTTCAAGATTTGGTGTTAGTCTAGGATAAATGCACCAGTATAGTATAATGAATGATATTTTGCTGTTATTAAAAGAGGCAGTAAAATGCAACTTAGCTCTGTTTTGTTTTGGGCTGCAATTTGCCTGTCCTTCCATAATATTCTTGGTAGGAATCCATATGTTGTCACTGATGTCTATGACATGCCATCCTCAGAGTCAACATGAGCTAACCTTTAGAGATGTATAATGAAATGTGAACAAGTGTTAATGGGTTGTAAAATATGTTGTGAACAGCAAGGGAAACGGATGCAATCAGAAGATCAGGATGAATAGTACTGTCCATTGCCACTACCTACAGATACCCTCAATAAATATTGCTCCATGCTTCTATATGTGATATAAAGTTTCAAGGAACTATGCTAGCTGCTTTGGCAGTGGGACCTATGGCATTTTTGTAATATTTGGCTTATTTAGAATAATGCAAGTAGGGCAAAAGAGGAGGCAGGTAGTAGTGTAGACATGGCAGAAGATCCACTACCACACATCAGATCACCAAAGAGATACATGCACCCACAAATTGCTTAGGTTCATAAATCGGGTGTGGAAAACTTTTGACCTTCCTGTTGTTGCTGAATATAATTTCAAGAGCTTTCTTGGTAGTGACACTCGGCCTGTGGAATGCCCTCCCATCAGATGTCAATGAGATAAACAGCTATATGACATTCAGGAGCCATCTGAAGGCAGATTTGTATAAAGAAGTTTTAAATGTTTGATGTGATACTCTGTTGAGCAACATCTGGAGAGCCCAAGGTTCCATATGCCTGACCTAAATGGTATGAGGCATGCAGTTCTCTGTATGTTTCTTCCTCTCACCCCAGACATTCAGTGGAGTCCTGTCTTCCCCCTTTATAGAAAGGAAGTTCAAGTTAAGTAAGAATAAATCACATCCTGAAGTCATGACAGTGCAATAGGAACCAACGAGGTTGTTCTCTTATCCCCTTACACAGTGCTCCACAGCAACTCATAAATAGTGAGTCTCCTGTAATGAATCTTAGCTGGTGCAACATATTCAGTTGGCAGGGGTGTTTAATAGGTGTAATTGCTTTAGTATTTCGATTTCTACTGGATATTTAGAAACATGATACAACTTATGCATGCCCAGAAATGCCTTTTTACTTGTTCATCATTCCACAAGATCATAAATATAGCTATATACCTAATTAAAATAGGCTTTACATCTGATTGACTAACAGGAATGCTGGCAGAAAAGCAGCATAATTGCATTCCTCAACATTTTCTAGCTAACTATGGTCCATCCAGATGTTGGGATTGTAGCATTAGTTTTCCTGGTTGTAATGCTAGCACTTCTGTCCTGGTTTTGTACTATATTCTTTATTGTTGGCATCCATCCCTCTGTCTCAAGAGATAATGCAGTGTGCCTCCGGGGGTGAAGCCAAACCGCTGCATTAACAGCGCAAAAGCGATCTCTCTGGGAAGCAAGCCTAGGCAGTGTGTCTGGAAGTACTGGGCTGCCCAAACAACAAGACCCCACTCTTGGCCTCGCTGATGTGGTCCAAAGGAAAGCAGAGCAAAACGTTTGGCACCAGCTTGGCTGTAGGAGTTGCCAGAAGGAAGACTACAAGGTGCCACCCAACCATCTTTGCGACTCCACTCTGGATTTGTGCAGGGTTTACTCCTTAGTCTTTTCTTCTCCCAAAGATATCCCACAAGGCAGTGGGGGATTAGCATCGGAATTTTCCTTCTCCTAGATGGGCTACCTTCCCAAGCTGACCAGCCCCAGCTGCAAAAACCACCTTCTTGACCACTGGACCTGCTATTGGTCCTGTCCCATCAGCACACCAGAGCTTGTCTTCACATTCAGGGAAAGTCCCCAACTCACTGAGAGTTTGAAACCCATTGAGTACTCTCAACTGGTTTAGCTGGCCATTCGAAGCCGTTCCTGGGGTGTGGCCGCCATTGCATGCTGACATTATATAGGAGCCTCAGGTAAAAGCTGAGTGCAGGGTGGGGACCAAAGTGGACAAACTATCCCATAAGGAGCACAGCATGATGCCCACCAGAATTACGACCACTCCCCTATCACCCTATAAATAATAATACAGTGGTACCTCGGTTTAAGAACAGCCCTGTTTACAAACTATTTGGTATACGAACTCCACAAAACCGGAAGTAGTATTCTGGTTAGCGAACTTTACCTTGGTCTATGAACAGAAGCCGAACAGTGGAAGGGCACCGGCAGCGGGAGGCCTCATTAGGGAAAGCACACCTCAGTTTAAGAACAGCTTTGGTTTAAGAACGGACTTCCAGAACAGATTAAGTTTGTAAAGCGAGGTACCACTGTAATAACAATAAGCAATTATATCCCACCTTTTTCTCTGAGGAGCTCAAGGTGGCACACCTGACTCTTCCTGTCCTCATTTAATGCCTACAACAACACTGGAATGTCCATTAAACTGAGAGGCAGTGGCTAGTCCAAGGTCACCAAGTCAGCCTCATGGCCAAGTAAAAATTAGTACACCTGGCATTAGCAGACCCAGAGTGCTGACTTCAATGAGCCTTACTCTGGGGAAGCTACCTTCATTACCTGTTGCATCCTGGCACTGTGGCTTTCAGATCAATATACTGCCATGTTTTGCTAAATTTCATTCCCAGCAGCGGCTACTACCATCCGTGTTGTGGCCATCAACACCCATTTCTGTGCCTACATGCTTCTGTTCTCTCATGAAGATGGTGAGAAAGAACAGAGTGCAGGTATACGGCCCCAAATTTCATGACGTGAGCAGCAATGAAAACTGAAGGGAGTTTACTCAATTTTTACTGTCAACGGGGTTGCAAACAGATTTTGTTTTCTGTTTCAGGAAATGCAAATTAGGTTAGGTACATATTAAACCAAGCCAAATTTCTTCCCCATCCCTACTTTTGAGCAAGCCTGGATAGGCTCTTGTTGTCCTTTACCTAAATGGTGAAAGGAAATGAGATACAGCAACATTACTTCTCTCGGAGAAAAAAGCACAGCCTACCAAACATTGACAAGGAAGTTAAGGTTTCCGCATTAGTTTGCAGATTTTATGATTGATGATGACTACTTTCCTCATTAAAAGCCCTCTTCTTTCATGTTGTCAGTTGAATTATCAGACAGCTGCAGCTCAACAATTTTGTGTCTGATGTCAGAAATCCATCTTTTAAATGGATTTGTGTCACTACTGCTGCCAAATTCTTTAGCAGAAGATATTTTCAAAAGACATCTCTTGGGAACTTCTTCCTAAATTTACCAGAGTTAACTGAGTGAGGAGAAGGAGGCATTTTATTATAATGAATATAAGATGCGGTTTGTATTTGTCGCCTTTTGCTTGATTGCAGCTAACTACATCGTTCGTCCCCACTTACAGACTCCCTTTACAGAGCTGACTTCTGTTTCTAGAGCACCAGTGGAGGCAAATTGTGTTCTTCCCTATGATTCTTTTCTTTTTTTAAAAAAAATGCAGACAGTTGCCAAAATCCAGCAGCTTGAATATACATGAAGAGCAGGGCTGGATTAAGACATTTATAGGCCCCTAAACACTTAAAAGATTTTGGTTCCCCCTAATACAGCTAATTCAAAATATAAACAATAGTAAAACATATATCATTAATCTCAATCACTACTTTT